GTATATATGCCTATCATATATATATATATATATATAACTATGAACTAGCACACTCTATACACAGGGATAAATTTAATCGATCTACAGCCTAAATTTGAATGTTTGGTTTTGAGGAGGCTTGCGTAGTTCTTACTGTACTAAGTAACAACGAATATCGAGCGATAACTGACATTGTGGTTAACGCATCGCTAATACTTACTCGGAAGTTGAAGAATAGTAGAGCAGATAACATCTCGAGTTAGTTTCAAAAGTACCCAGTACTTTCAAAAGACTTATCTGTATAGTATTTTCTCTGTATCAGACCACATACATGCTTCTACGCTGTACTACTTCTAACCCTTTCTACGCCCTCTAGACTACTTCGTATCGAAATGGTGTTATTAAATAACTTATCGCTATTTTATTCTCGCGATGTCACGTTCAGTATGTCCATTTCATTTTTTAACGTTTAAAAAAAAATACAAAAAGAGAGAATACATAAAACCACATATTTTCATAGGCCTCTAAATATATTTTTATTTTGTAATTTCATACATAATTTGCCTTTTTTCCCTCTTTTTTATGTTTTCAAAAGAAATCATAAAAGCCCGCCTTTCATTAACTGCTGACGTCATCATAATACCATATATGGGAATCCCTTTTATATGTTTTGAAAGACAAACTTATATATACTGTAGACCATACCTTAGAAACAAGAAACATCGTAGATCACTTCATAGTACCACAACATGGCGGAACTCATGGCTAGCTCCATTATGGGAGATGCGCAGAAGCAGATCTTCGGAGAGGAAGAGAAAAAACCTAAGGTGATAAATTGGTTCTGAGTTAACTCCGTTCATTTCTGCTATCATTAAGCTGTTTAATTGTGTCTAGTTTAATATCATTTAGAATTGCTGTTGTTGCCGTTGGATCTGCAAAACGTTTTGAACACACTACGAAAGCCGATTGTATATACATTTGATTTGTTTATCGGAGTTCTCCCCCATTAAAGTTTCTATCGCGATTATAGTGACCCACATTCACGCCGATGCGGGATATATATATCTCTAGCTATCTCCATATACCTGTGCCAATGCATGTGTACTGCGTAGTGTGCAGTTGTGTGTTACAGTCGTACCCCCCACCACACACACATAGGTGTTTTACCATACCACGCCTGGTTAAGCGTTACACAAACACACCATGCAAACTCGCTTCACAGTTCTAAACAGCCCATGACTTCACCTCACTCTCTGCATGCACAGTTACATAGTCTCTCCTCTTACAAATGCACAGACACCTTGTATTGCATTGCATCAGAGTCTTTTTTCCCAAGATGTCCTATTTGGTTGTGTATCACACGAAATTCTAAACGCAACGCCTGTAGACAGTGCACCTAAGTACACTCAAGTGAGATGGGTGCCTCAGGCTATGTATTGTAGTCTGTTGGACCTAAGGAATATATTGGCACGTTCAAAAGTACCTACCAATAGTTTCTGTGAGCTATGCATCGTTACTCTTCTTCTATGGACGAGAGTCTACATGTGCGTGTGTGTGTATGTGTGTGGGGGCGCGTGTGTGTGTGTGTGTGTGTGAAGGAGCGAAAACTAGACATTGACCCAAAACGATAACATGCACCAATCTACACTGTACCAACACATCAGTACTAATTGGCTACAACACACATGACACATATGCAGGTTAAAAAAACAACTATCAGAGACGACCTGATGAAGGAGCGAAACCTGGACGCATCAATGCATGACGAAGAAAGACAGGCGAGGAATGCGGCGAAAGATAAGCGAGTACGTGCACATGCACATGTGGGAAGTTTGTATTTAATACTTCGATCTCGATGTGTATGTTGTAGACTGCTTTGATTTCAGTGTCTTGTGATATAGCATGTGGGGAGTTTGTATTTAATACTTCGATCTCGATGTGTGAGTTGTAGATTGTTTTAATGTGAGTGTCTTGTGATATAGCATGTGGGGAGTCTGTATTAAGTACTTCGATCTCGATGTGCGTGTTGTAGATTGCTTTAATGTTAGTGTCTTTTGATATAGCATGGGGTGAGTTTGTATTAATTGCTTCGATCGTGATGTGTAGGTTGTAGATTGCTTTAATATGAGTGTCTTATGATATAGCATGTGAAGAGTTTTTTCGAGTACATCGATCTTGATATGTAGGTTATAGATTGCTTTATTTTCAGTCTCTTTGTGATATGGCATGTGGGGAGTTTCTTCGAGTACTTTGCTCTTTGAGTGTCTTGTGATATACAAGTATGTACCCATACCCATATGTTTGGAGTTTCTAATACGTACTTTGATCTCAACGCATATCACTTCACTTTAATTTCAAGCATATTCTGATTCTATCCACTCTGCACCTGCATGTGATCCTCCCGTATTGCACTCCATAGTACGCGCCAGTGAACCACGCGTTTACCCACCCCACCAGCAACCGCTCGGTGCTCAGCCAATGCCTTGTGGTCACTGTATCACCTGGCCATAGCCGAGTCCTTTCTGGCTCTGCAGAGCGAACACTAACCTGAATAGCTGGTTGAGGTATAAGACTACATGCGTCTAATGAATTACTAATGTGGTTAATATGGTCTCCTTTCCCGTTCGAATGTAGGCAGTGGATATGAGAGCGAAGTATAATTTAGCCGAGCCCGAGTCTCCGAAGAAGCAGAAGAAGTCTACCGAGAGTATACCGCCTGCGGATGGGGATGGCAAGGAGAAGACCAAGGGAGGCAAGAAGTGGTGGAAGCGGAAATAGCTCAGATCATCCGATGGGGTATCTCAGTATAGACATAGGTGGAGATTACAATAACCGTATTAATTGGTCTAGCCTATTGAACGGGAGAAGGCCAAGGGAGACAACGAAGTGGTGGGAACGGAAATAGCTCAGATCGCCCGATAAGATACGATATGGGGTTTCAAAAGGTCTGCGTTAAATCTGTCGTCGAGAAAAACTTGGTTTTCGCTCAAGACCCAAATTTAGAGGGCCGTGGAAACAACTAAGACACGGGAAGTGTCAAATTAAGTACAGGACAGCTGTGAATTACGATGTATATATATTAAGTGCAGCTGTGAATTAATTGAGTACAGCTGTGAATTAATTGAGTACAGCTGTGAATTAATTAAGTACAGCCGTGAATTAATTAAGTACAGCCGTGAATATATTAAGTACAGCTGTCAATTAATTAAGTACAGCTGACAATTAATTAACTACAGCTGTTAAATTAATTAAATACAGCTGTATATTAATTAAGTACAGCTGTGAGTTACGATACATGTGGGGATACGAACGCCGTATGGTGTTTGGCCTGAGCGGTTAAGCAACTCAGATGTCAAGTGAAAACACCGCACGTTGTGCGTTGTACACGAACTGACGGAAGCTCTCTCATCAGTTACATCTAGTTACATCCAAATAGATAGTTCATTAAAAAACGAAGTTTAATACGAATCACTCGGGCACGGGTACTGTGTGAGGACAGGTGCAATATCAATACACCCGCGGTGCCCCCTTTTGTAATACATAAGCAATCGGTGTTATACTGCTACGCTACAGTTCGGTCTCGAAATGAGACGATGAATGTTTTTAGGGTTTAGGGTATACCGTCTTTCTCGTGGGGGATGTGTTTAACGATGAGTTCCAAAATAAAACGTGTATGCGCCACCGAAATGTGTGTGCCGAAGCACCGTCGCCCCCAGACACGTACAATTTATAGCGCAATACGCATTGCTGCCTTGTGCTGGCTTTTAAACGGATTCCGAATAGAATGGCGTATTGTTTGATGTATGTCTCACTATGTAATTGTTTGTTGTATGTCTCACTATGTTATTGCTTGTTGTATGTCTCTGTATCTAACATTCTTCTTCTGATGATAGCCGTATGAAATAGATTGGTAAATTGAAGAGTGGCATGCTAACGCATATTGAAATGAGACACACTCCGACTTTGGGTTCCAACTTCAGTGGAGAATATATATGCGGAATATCGTATATCACATATACAACTACCCCAGTATCTGAGAAAAATACATCTTAATTACTTGGTTAAAATCTCACCAACTATCGTTGAGAATTTCGTATATCGCATATACAACTACCCTAGAGTATCTGTGAAAAATATATCTTAATTACTTGCTTAAAATCTCACATTAATCATCGCTGAGCTCGGGTCTGATGAGTTCCAATTCCCAGGCCTAACCTCTCACCACTACAGGTGTATACCACAACCCCCCGTCTCTAATTAACTAAATTTTTATCATATAATCTCCTATCAGTCCTAATAAGGCGCTGGACTTGAATTGAAATTAAAAAAATGACCTGAGATATCTATGGGACCCATTCCCCGGGTGTCCAGTCGTCCTTCTTCGTACTTTGCTGGTTGGTGTTACTTTTGGCCTTGTTTGTACCCGCTGTGCTTTCCGCATCACCCGCCGGCAGCCAGCCTTGAGGCGAATAGTTATCGCCCCTGCGACTCTCAGATACGAATGACTTGCGTGCGTTGTCCCAGGAGGAAGCTGTATATAGAAATGGGATTGACAGGCGATACGTGTTAGCCACGCTTTGGGATGATTAGTATTTAAACGTTTACGCTTGTAAAGTTCCTATGTGTAAATGGGGTTGAAAAGCGATACGCGTTAGCCACGCTTGGGATGATTAGTATTTAAACGTTTACGCTTGTGTAGTTACTGTGTGTAAATGGGGTTGACAGGTGATACGCGTTAGCCACGCTTTGGGATGATTAGTATATAAACGTTTACGCTTGTATAGTCATTG